ACCCTCTCAGCCTTCTGGCTCGCTACGTGGCTCCCGGTAGGCACCGAAAGGTGCACTGGGATGCTGCGAAGAGGGTGTTGCGCTACTTGTGCAGTACATCGGGCATGGGGCTCGTGCTTGGAGGACGGGCTCGAGTTGTCCTCACTGGTCACGCTGACGCCTCCTGGGTTGACGACTTGGCTACGCAGCGGTCGTCACAGGGTTACACCTTCAGTCTTGGCTCCGGTTCTGTCTCTTGGCGGTCTACCCGCTCTTCTTCTGCTCTCAGCTCCAGTTGTGAGGCTGAGATCTACGCTGGGGCCATGGCTGCACAGGAGCTACGCTGGCTCACCTACCTGCTGACCGACTTGGGAGAGGCGCCTCGTTCTCCTCCAGTTCTGTACGTCGACACCAAGGCCATGCTTGCCTTGTGTCAGGAGCACAGACTGGAGCACAGAACGAAGCACATTGCTCTGCGCTACTTCCTTGCTCGAGAGTTGCAGCAGCGTGGCCAGCTTCGTCTCGCTTACGTGGCCTCACAGGCCAACACTGCTGATGTTTTCACCAAGGCACTTCAGCCTTGTGATCATCAGCGTTTTTGTACTGTTCTAGGCCTTGTACCTATTGTGCCTCACTTGCTTACTTCTTGACTCTGCTTGTACTGTACTCTATATACATATACCTGCATGCTTACACTTGCTAGGTTGTGTTCACTGTATTGTTTGCTTTCCTTAATATAACTCTGCATGTGAACTGGCCTTGTGGCCCTTTGCTTGTGCTCAGACTGCGTGGTGACTTTGTGATCCACCCTGAGCTTGCTTTGCCTTCTTGACTGGTCTTGTGACCTCTTGTTCTCCCCCACTTTGCCTATGGGGGTGTGTCAAACTTATATATGCTATAGTCTGTTTAGGCTGTAGTGGGGTAGTTCTTATAGGGTACAACACTTTTAGGTTTCCTACTTGTACCCACCTGCTTCCTAGTTCATTCATTCCATTCTCTCACATTGTAACACTTGTTACCGTTCCTCTCTCTGTCTGTAGGCCAGAGGCTGGAGGTGGAGTAGGAGTAGTGCCAAGAGATCCGTTGGAGGAGCTCCTTTCCTTTTGTGTTGCCATGTCTTGTGTTGTCGTATGAATTTTGGAAATCGATCTTGCCTTGTTTGCTCTCATACCATGTTGGGCTGAGAAATAGCCCTTAGGATCCTTTCAAGGCTAAGATCTAGTTGAAGTAGGAATGTTGTAGTTTGCGGAAGCGTAATAATAAGAATACTTGAACCACCCTGCGCTAGTATGTGAGAGCAAGATAAGTTGATAATTGCAAAAACATACAAAGCTTTTATATGATTACAAAGGAATATGAAAAGTTCTTCTTTAACTGTTTTCTGCTGCTGCGGTTCGATACAGTGACGACTCGGGTAACTGCTCAGTATCGAGTCAGTTATGTGTCCTTACTGTCGTACCGTATTTTTCGTCGAGTCAAAGGTCAGCGATCTTTGACCTTCGCGTAACCTCCAGTTGTTACGGTTGTTGACTCGCGTGTTGTTTCGCTGTAATCCGCTCCGTTCTTGTGTCGATATTTCGATTACATCAGAAGCGTTAGATTACTTGTTTCCAATTCCAACACTGTACGCCCATAAGGGTAATCTTCGCTAAGGGAAAATTTACCCCAGAGCATCAGTGTGGCCTAAATCGTTTCACTGTAAAATCAGTGTAACACCAATCCCCAAAAAAATTACCCTAACACATCAGTGCAAGCCCAAAAAAACACCCTTCTCATCAGTGTAGCAGTGTGATTTACACTAATAAAATAGGCCCTGGCGACGACTCGGGGAACTGCTCAATAGCGAGTTAGTTATTTGTCCGTGCTGTCGCGCTGCCTTTATCAAGTCAAAGGTCGCTTACCTTTGACCTTCGCTTCAACCTCCTGCTGTTGTCGCCTTGTCAACCGCTTTGGTTGACTCGGTGTTGCTTCGCTGTGAGTATGCTTCTCTTTTGCTTTAGTGCTCGATACTTCAGAAGCGCAAACTAAATGTTTCCAACAAATGATACAATAAGTTGTAGTTTGGCGGAATTTGTTGGATGCTTTGCAGCCCTGTGAAAGTGTGTACTATATTTCGTATTTGCGGTAAGGATAAGTTAATAGCAAACAGACTAAGGTTTAATAGCAGGGCATACATAACAACAAGATACAGCCGGTTTCATACATAGATAATGCTTCATGACAGAACTTCATTTGAAACGAAACTCTTTTGATGAATTTCTTCACCCAAGTGGACTTTTCCATGCTGGCGTTCTCTCCACCTGGTAATCGCTTGAGGCACGTCAGCCTGGGCCTTTTCAGATTGATCTGAGATTTCCTTTCACGCTTGGGATAATCGAGCCTCTCATGAAAGCAGACAAGCAAGGCTCGGTGACACAACGACGGCACCGATTGCTCCGAAAACTTCCCAAGCCAGCATATCGTCCAGTCACACAAGCCTAGCTTGAGCTGGCCAATGACCATTCCTCATAAAGCGCATCTGGAATTACTTGTTGACGCAATCCACGTGATTGATGACAGCATGCCAACAAACACCCAGCAACCTCAATCGACTTTGTGTGAAGGCCCTGCTTCGCCTATCCCCGTTGGCGTAGCTGCGTGCTGGCGAAATGCTGGCTCTGTCGCCACCAGCTCAATCGACAATGCCGCCATTTGAAACCCCATTCATTTCTCACAGTGGGAGAGGCAGATTTGTCGACTTCATTTCGTCGCCGTCGCATCCACCCTGTCTTTTTCTTGCGCGGGTTGAGGTCGTAGTCGCATTTGAGTGAGGAAATGACGGATCGCCCTGGTTTCAAGTTTCCGATTCCTTTGGCCAGTGGCTTTGACGCCGCCTTGCTTCTCCGCTCGCGTCCGATTCCTTGGGGCAGCTGATTTCGACATTTCCAATTTCCTGTGACCAGGAAAATTCTGAAGATTACCTGTTTTTAGTTTAGGGGCCAGTGGAAAAAATAAACCCCTCTCGGATGGCTGGCCATTTGGGAAGCATCAACCCTAAACACCTTGCCTCATGGTGTTTAGGATTGATGCCTCCCAAATGGCATGCCCTCCATGAGGGGTATGTATTTTTTGTCCCGAGCTTCTCGTAATTGACGCGACAACTCAATTTATGATATCCCGATAAATATCCAAAATATTAGTCTCTGGACTCAAAAAGGGGCAATAGCGTAAATAGCTGACCGAAGGTATCGGAAACGAGCGCAAAGCAAGGCGGTGTCAAAACCACTGCCAAAAGAAATCGGAAACCCGAAACCAGGGCGATCTGTCATTCCCTCTATTTGAGTGCTTCGAGAATCGCATGCGAATACTTCGAGGTCGCACACACATCACACTCAGTTTCCAAAGCTGCTGCCGCCAAAACAGGTTGCACACGCGCCACCACACCCCACCGCTGTACAGTGACGCCTCCAAACCAATCCAGCAGCAGGGGCAAGAAGATTGTCTGCTTCCATGTTCCCTCTGCCCCCGCATGGCCTTGTTTCGCACTACCCGATTCAGAACTTTGTTCCGGGTGCACTACACCAACTAGATTTCGACTTCGGTTCATACCTGCTCCTGATTGATAATAATTTCCGCCCTCTAATCATGTTATCTGCACCAAACAAGCATTTCCAGACGATTTTCTTTCTGCCCGAATGTACTTTCTGCACTGCTGTCCAGGTACTTCCAACATTCCTTGCATTTGCCCCCCTTCATCTCCTTCGTCCTTTCATCCTGATTTCTCCTTCCACCACTGCGGCTGCCGCTGAGTCCTGACTGCTGCTGCTCTGCATATATTCACCTCACGCATTCATGCAGAGGGGTGGAATCTGTGTGATTGAGCTCCGCAGAAAGCCCAACCCCGTTCTTGTAAAGAGCAGCCATTTCTTGCTTTTCCTGTTTTCTCCAATGCGTTCCTTCTCTACTACTCCCGATCCTTCTGCGATCAGAACCGTCGATTCCGTTCCCTTTACACGTGATTCCGTCCCACTGTTTTGCTGTATCCATAGTCGTCGGATGTTTTTTCGGCCGAAATTCATGCATCCATGTCACTTCGACGTGCGTGTGTGTATTGAATCCTTGCTTGACACTACTGCTTACTGCTCCCTCGTGACACCCGCTACGGAAGCGTTAGAGATTGAAGTACCCGGATAACAAGCCAATTATCCACACGCGAGCAATCCCAAGAACTGCTACTTTTTTCCGTCGCCTTTTCGCCAGTTACGACGGGTAAATCTCTCGTGTAGCAACGAATTAAATCTCTCGTGTAGCAACGAATTAAGTGCTTCGCTACTGCGGTTTCTGGAAGCCGGCGAATTCTCAACTTCTTAACGGCGACCGTCAAAACGAGCTAAACTACTCGGAATTTTATCGCTCAAGAGTTTGAAGGCCTTTGCGTTGACATCGAGTCATGGCGTTCGGTGATGTGATCGGTGACCGCATGATGCGACGGCTCACGGCAGCGGGTCGCAGGGCAATGCGACGGAACGCGAGCGACAGTTGCTTCCTTCGCGACAGTCGCCAGCAGCAGCAAAGGGTGGAGAACGCGACATCAGCGACCAAGGTAACCTCGACTGCACGAGTCATGACGCCTGGATGAATCTGAGGAGATAGGCTTCTCGAGCTCTGTTTTGTCGCCGAATGTTGATGGTAGATGCACGTCACTTTTGAACAGGATTTTCCTGGGATGTTTAGGATGTGCATGAATAACCGTAGTTGCTGCTCCTTCTCGGGTTTGCGCCTGCGGTGTCGCTCCCCCACATTCAGGCATCCTGCTCTCGCCTGATGGGTCGCTGCAGCAGCAACAACTTTCGGAGGCGCCTCAAAGGTTTTCTCGTTTCGTTTTTTGCGATTTCGCTCCCCACGTTCAGGGTTCATGCTCTCGCCTGATGGGTCGCTGCAGCAGCAACAGCTGCATTCACGCTATGAAGAAAAACGGCTCCAATTCGTTTCTATCCGAGGCCGCTTCTACTCCTCAAAGGACCCCGTTATCATCACTCACCATGTTCCTTAAACGAAAGAGCGCCGCACGCTCTGCTACAGCTGCCGAGCCTGTCTCCGAGCCTACCACCGAGCCTGTCTCATCCGCGTCCAATCAGGAGAAAGCGAAGCCCGGAGCTTCTGATAAAGACAAGGCGAAAGGGTTTCGTGCCGCTGTATTCCCCGTCGCTGTAATCGAAACCGACGAGGAGGAAAACGAATCTTCCGACGACGGGACAGCACTACGGAATGTGACTAAATTGGATAGCGTGTTCGCGAAGCAACCCTCGACCGCACCAGTCGCAGCACCAGTCGCAGCACCAGTCGCAGCGCCAGTCGCAGCACCAGTCGCAGCAGAAGCACAGCCGACGAAATTGACCCCAGCAGCATGTACGAAGCTTCCACCACCTGCTCCTTCTCCCGGCAAGCAGCCCGTCAGCCAGCCGGTCGACATCAAGCAGCCGGCGACGGCCGTCCGTAACCGTCAGCAGAACCGTCCGATCTTCCAGCGGCCGGTTCTGGACACGATCCCGTCCGCACAGGAGCTGGAAAGCGGCGAGCCGCTATTCTCGCTCTCCCTCACCAACAACCCAGTAACCTCCCCTCCGACTGTTACCACTTCCGGCGGTTCGTCTTTCTCCTCGTTCATCCTCTCCCTCGTCACGCCACGTGGCAGCCAGAGACCCGCGTCGTCTGCTACCGCTTCGTCCCAATCCGCCGCATCGTCTGTATACTCACTTTCTGATTCCGATGCGGATTCGGACTCTGAGGAGGAGAGCGAGGGAGATGGGGACGAGGAGCGCGAGGGAGAGGAGGGTGGGGGAGGTGAAGGGGAAGAGGGTGATGGGAGCTGGAGCAAGCTGGCGTCTGTTGGCAAGTCCGTGAGCTTTGAAGGGAGGAAGACGGGGGTTCAGAGCGGTGGAGCTGGGTTCTGGAACCGGAAGAGGTGGCTGTCGTTCTCCCCTCGCTCCGCCTCCGCTGCTCGGGCGTGTGTGCGGGCTGTTGCTTCTGCGGACGGTGGTAATGGTGATGGTGGTGGTCGTGGTGCCAAGTGTGTCAAGTCCACGCCTTCCTCTTCTTACACGTCTCCTTCGATGCATCTCGTGACGAGCCCCGACGCAGCCTCGGGGTCCGGTTCGGCAAGCTCTGCTCCGGCTGGAGGCTCGGAAGGAGGTTCGGATGCAGGTTCGGGAGGGACATTCGGTGGTGGTTTGGGAGCGGGCGGCAGGATAAAATCTGGAGCGAGGATGGGGATGCTATCCAGAAGCATGTCGGAACGACTGCCGCCACTCACTCCGCTGGCGACTGTGCTGGACTGCGACATGCCGCTGACGTGGACTGCCAGCCTGGACCCGGATTTATGGGCGGTTCCGGAGCACGGGCCCCATGTGGGTGGCGGAACGACGGGCCAGTGTAGCAACTGTGATAGCTGGCGAGGCGAGAAGATATGGCGTGAAGAAAAGGACAAAGACGACAAGTTGGCGGCACGCCGGCCACGCAGCATTGTGTTGCCGGCCAGGAATGTGACGGGTCCTGCTTCTGCCCCCGTAGCAGGGGATGCTGCGGTGGCGTCGCCGCCAGCTGTCACGTCGCCAGCTGTCACGCCGCGATTGCCTGAGCTGACGGAGGAGTCGTTTCTGCTGTCGGAGGCGACACGTGCGGCGGTGTTCAAGCACCTACCTGCCACAGTCAGCAGTCACAAATGGGTGCTCCTTTACAGGTAACGGCTAGATTTACCTTTGAGGCGCCTCAAATGGGTGCTCCTTTACAGGTAACGGCTAGATTTACCCTGGGTTGGGTGTTACATGCTGAGTACTGCTTCTTTTCTTCCGTTCCTCTCCATCACCATTCATGTCTTCCGTTCCTCGTCCTTCCAACATTCACTCTCCTCACAGCACGGTGAAGCATGGCATATCGCTCCTCACGCTCTACCGCAGGGCCTCCATGCTCCCCGGCCCCTGCCTCCTCGTGCGTACCCTTCAAGCCTTGCTGCTGTTCCCAAGTCCTCTTGAAAGTGTCCTTGGTCACTTGCAGGCCTTCCCACTGCGTCGCCCATTTCGACTCTTTTGACTATTGTTTCTGCTCTGATCATTTTTTGCTCTCACGCTGCCGCTTGTCGTTTCTTTCACACTGGAAATCCTGTTTGTTTCTCTTCCTTGCTTCTCTCTCAATTCGCGTGTTTCCTACCTCATCCATCCACTCTTCCAGGTGGTATCAGACACCGCAGGAACAGTCTTCGGCGCCTTCTCCTCCCCCTCCGCGCTCACCCCGTCCGACCGGCGCAAGTACCAGGGCAGCAACCACTGCTTCGTCTTCTCCGACATCTCAGGCTCCCCCACGGTGCATGCAGCGACTGGGCGCAACCACTACTACGTGCTGCCCACCCACGACTGCCTTGCCTTCGGAGGCGGTGGACGCTTTGCCCTGCGCCTGGAAGAGGACCTGTGAGTCTTGGAGGGGCTAGAGGGGTGTGGGTGGTGTAGGGAAGGGGGGTGTGCAGGGGCGAGCAGTCTCTGGCTCGCCCACGGTGCATGCAGCCACGGGGCGCAACCACCACTACGTGCTGCCCACACATGACTGCCTTGCATTTGGTGGCGGTGGGAGATTCGCCCTGCGCCTGGAGGAGGATCTGTGAGTTCTTTCTCCCACCATGTTGCATGCCTCCTTAGCTGTCTGCCTGCTTGCGTTTTTTCCTTTCCAGAACAAATCCTCCTTCCAGACTTTCCATTCACCTTGTCGCCTCCTGCCTTCCGCCGTCTCCTTTTGCCCCTGCCTGTCTCCCCCTTGTCTCTCCGTGCCTGCGAGCTGCAGGCTGTCGGGCTCCAGTGGCGAGTGTGACACCTTCGCCAGCCCATGCCTGGCGGGGAAAGAGGACTTCTGTGTCAAACACGTCGAGGTGATTCAGATTCACTCATCTCTTGCACGCACACACATCTTCTTCGCATGCTCTGCCTACATTCCATGTTTCTCTTGTATCCTTGCTCCCTCCTCCCAGCCCGCCGTCCAAACACTCAATCGCAGTTTTACCCTCCTCAACTTGTCTCTGCATCAATTTTGTTCCTCGATGTCTCTTTTGTTCTCTCTCCTAACCTTGTCCTCCCCTCCAACTCTCCTTCCTCCCTTTCCCGCCCACCCTGGTCCACTCACCTCAATTCGCAACCACCATTGCCACCACGGCTTCTACGTGTGTTTGCAGCTGTGGGGGTTCGCCCATTTGTCGCGCTACACGCCCGCCAGAGCTGCATGGAAGGAGCCCAAAATGCGCCACAGCTTCCACGCTTAGCCGCACCCTTTCTTAGCGCACTTTCTCGGCACAGCGGCTTCCATGTTTGGCCGATCTTTTTTTTACGCACCTCAAGAATACACGCCTGCGAGAGCAGCATGGAAGGAGCCCGAAATGCGCCACAGCTTCCACTCTTAGCTGCGCTTTCACGACACAGCAGCTTCCATTCATGGCGGCACCTGCATTTGACTACACCTTCAGCTTCTGTTGCTAACTGCAGCTCCAACGTCCTCTGCTATTCGCACCTGCGTTTTGAGAATTCCCAAAGAGTGACTCCAATGCTTCCACTCATAACGGCACCTGCATTGCGCGGCAACTTCTGCTGCTATCTGCGGCTCCAGAGTCCTCTCCTAATCTCCTCTGCGGCCTCATCTCCTTTTCGCACCTGCAGCGTCGACGTTTATCACGCCTGCAGCTATATTGTATTTACAAGGGCTATGCAGGCACACAGCCCTCAGCCCCCGTCTATATCTCACCTGGCAGAAGCTTGATGCAACGGCACAACAGCAAGACCGCCAGGATACTACCATTCTCACTTGCGTGGTTCGACTCATAGCTCATTACTCCATGTGGCTGCATGGATGATGGATACAATCATGCAAGGGTACACCGGGCAACAGCGACCCTGGTTTCGGTAGAGACTCGTTTGAAGCGCCTCAGACAAAGCAACTCTGGTTTGAGTCGGGAATTATAAGGCACCTCGTGTGGCTGGACTCTTCGCCAAGGGTGCCAAGGGCGCAAGGCTACAGCGACCCTGTGTAACATTTTGTAACATTCTGCAACCCCTTCTGCAATCTGCAGCATCTGAAGTGAGTCGGTAGTAACCAGCGTCTGTGCGCGGCTATTTTTTTCTGCACTGTAAGGTTTGTCTTTTCTTGTAAGGTAATCTGCTCTTTTCTGGTTCTTGCGTGACACGGTGTTGTGGCGTGTCTATTTTGCACTACTGGCAACTTTTTGTGGTGGAGAGTAGGGGGTGGATGGTACGTAAGTGTGTGGCAGGTTGGCAAATGAAAGGCAGCGAGGAGGAGCGAGGGAGAAGTTAGGGGGAAGCAGAGGAGGGGAGTGAGGAAGAGGTGAGTAGCGTAGGTGAAATGAGCAGTTGATGAGAAGTCAAATAAGCAGTGGAGATGTTGCTGCAAGGTGTCGTGTACTGGCCAACCCACCCCACCCAATACCCACATCCCATTTCCTAAGCGCCGTGCGCATGTGTAGGTTAGTGGGAGTAACTGTACAGATTTACGTTTTGCTTGTCAGTGCTTGCATCTGCCACCCGACCAAGGGCTTGGTGTGTGCTTGTTTGTAAATGCATTATAAGTAATATACAGTTTCTATTTTTCCAGCTGCTAACAGTAGACCTCATTTGATATATATATAAAGCAAGTGACTAGAAGTGGTGACACGCTTGTATCGTATTTGCGAATATGCGTACGAATGCATCCCCAAACACAAGCACCAGAAACCCAGCAGAGACAGCAAATCCAATTTCCTGCGCCAACCCAATCAGGAGCAGCTGCTGGTCTCTAACACGCGCGGCTGGTTCGCTCCCTTCACTCATTCTGCACACCCCGCAGATCGGCCCAGATCGCCACATTCCTCGCCGCTGTCCTCGCCTTTCGTCCTCCCGTACCAGTCGCCGACCCTGTAGTGTCTTATCGGAGCAGTTGCGACAATGACGCAGACGCTCCTTTCGTCACGTGCATCGGGTTACCACACACGGAGTCTTCTCGCAAATGGGTCGCAGCCGTCGAAGTCAATTCAATGCCCATTCGGCACGTGGCAGGCACACGCCGGACCGGGTCATCCGCTCAGCCGAAAGTTGACGAAGCTAGACGAGAGGCTCGGAATCAGGCTCGGCAGCGGCGGCTTTTATAGGCTCGGGACGCAGCAGCAGGGATGGAGAAGGGGGTTCGGAGGCGAAGGCGTGGGAAGGGAGGGTGAAACGGTTCGGGGAAGGCGGCGAACGATCACAGCCATAGGATTCACTGCAGATCCACGGCCCAGGTAGCATGATCTCAAGCATGAAATTCCTCCAAGATTCTTCATAGCACCCTTGCTAAGACCCGTTCAGCACCTCCCAATTTACCCTCCCTGATGCCCTACCCTCCACTCCCTCCCTCCATTCCACCCCCCTCCACCCCCCTCCACCCCCTTCCACCCCCTTCAGTGTTGAGAAAGCAGCAGTGCGTCTGTTGCTATAAGCGCTGCTCGTCAGGCGTTCCTGAGTCTGCTGCTGCAGCTGCGCCGCTCTGTTGGTGGGGGAGAGGGGGGAGGGGGTGTTTGGTGAAGGTGTGGGAGGGGGGGTGTATTATTTGGGGGTGGTGGTGGGAGGGTGGAGGTGTGTTGGTGTAGGCGCTGCTTCGCAGGCGTTTCTGAGGCTGCTGCTGCAGCTGCGCCGCTCTGATGGTGGGGGGAGTGGAAGGGAGTGCAAGGAGAGAGAGGGGGGTATCTGGGGGTGTGGTGTGGGGATGTTGGGGTGGTGGGGTTGTGTTGGTTTGATCGCTGCTCCTCAGGCGTTTCTGAGGCTGCTGCTGCACTGCAGCTGCCATGGTGGGACTGAGGTGGGATGGGGGGAGAGGGGGCGTGGTGGGGATGGTGGCGATGTGATGTCTGAGGGGTTCATCCTCGTTGTGTTGGGAGTTGGGGGTGGAATGGAAACACGTGCATTACCCCATGCGCCACTATTACCCAAACCCCCAAACCCAGAATCACCCAAATCCCCAAGCTCCCCCTTCCTCTCCTACCTCGCTCCCCTCTCCCACCTCGCTCCCCTCTCCCTTTCCATCCCCCCACTTCTCCACTTCCCCCCTCCCAAGCAGACCCTTTGGAAGTGCTGGAGAGCAATGGGCAGTTTTATCGTCTCATGGCCTTGGGGAGAGCTTTGCCTTCCCTTTCCCCTCCGCGCCCCTTTCCGCTCCCCCATGTCTCCCTTCCCCCCCCTTTCCCCCCCTTCCCCCCTCCCCCCCCCCCCTCACAAGCAGACCCTCTGCGTGTGCTGGAGAGCTATGGGGAGTTTTACCGCCTCATGGCCTTTGAGGAACATTCCAGGTAGCTTCTCCCTGATGTTCTCTCCTTCCTCTGCTTACCCCTTCCCTGAAATCTTCCGATTACCACCACACCACACCAGAACCGGAGGGATTTGTAGGCCAGCTATATCTTCCCATTACCACCACACACACTTGTTTTGAGACATCCCATTACCACCACACACACTTGTTTTGAGACATCCCATTACCACCACACACACTTGTTTTGAGACATCCCATTACCACCACACACACTTGTTTTGAGACATCCCATTACCACCACACACACTTGTTTTGAGACATCCCATTACCACCACACACACTTGTTTTGAGACATCCCATTACCACCACACACACTTGTTTTGAGACATCCCATTACCACCACACACACTTGTTTTGAGACATCCCATTACCACCACACACACTTGTTTTGAGACATCCCATTACCACCACACACACTTGTTTTGAGACATCCCATTACCACCACACACACTTGTTTTGAGACATCCCATTACCACCACACACACTTGTTTTGAGACATCACATTACCACCACACACACTTGTTTTGAGACATGCATTACCACCACACACACTTGTTTTGAGACATGCATTACCACCACACACACTTGTTTTGAGACATGCATTACCACCACACACACTTGTTTTGAGACATGCATTACCACCACACACACTTGTTTTGAGACATGCATTACCACCACACACACTTGTTTTGAGACATGCATTACCACCACACACACTTGTTTTGAGACATCCCATTACCACCACACACACTTGTTTTGAGACATCCCATTACCACCACACACACTTGTTTTGAGACATCCCATTACCACCACACACACTTGTTTTGAGACGTCACATTACCACCACGCACACTTGTTTTGAGACGTCACATTACCACCACACACACTTGTTTTGAGACATCACATTACCACCACACACACTTGTTTTGAGACGTAACATTACCACCACACACACTTGTTTTGAGACGTCACATTACCACCACACACACTTGTTTTGAGACACTTGGTCGAAATGCATTACCACCACACACACTTGTTTTGAGACATCACATTACCACCACACACACTTGTTTTGAGACGTCACATTACCACCACACACACTTGTTTTGAGACATCCCATTACCTCCACACACACTTGTTTTGAGACGTCACATTACCACCACACACACTTGTTTTGAGATGTTACATTACCACCACACACACTTGTTTTGAGACATCCCATTACCACCACACACACTTGTTTTGAGACATCCCATTACCACCACACACACTTGTTTTGAGACATCACATTACCACCACACACACTTGTTTTGAGACATCCCATTACCACCACACACACTTGTTTTGAGACATCCCATTACCACCACACACACTTGTTTTGAGACATCCCATTACCACCACACACACTTGTTTTGAGACATCACATTACCACCACACACACTTGTTTTGAGACATCCCATTACCACCACACACACTTGTTTTGAGACATCACATTACCACCACACACACTTGTTTTGAGACATGCATTACCACCACACACTCTTGTTTTGAGACATCCATTACCACCACACACACTTGTTTTGAGACGTCACATTACCACCACACACACTTGTTTTGAGACACTTGGTCGAAATGCATTACCACCACACACACTTGTTTTGAGACATCACATTACCACCACACACACTTGTTTTGAGACGTCACATTACCACCACACACACTTGTTTTGAGACATCCCATTACCACCACACACACTTGTTTTGAGACATCCCATTATTACCACACACACTTGTTTTGAGACATCCCATTACCACCACACACACTTGTTTTGAGACATCCCATTACCACCACACACACTTGTTTTGAGACATCCCATTACCACCACACACACTTGTTTTGAGACATCCCATTACCACCACACACACTTGTTTTGAGACATCCCATTACCACCACACACACTTGTTTTGAGACATCCCATTACCACCACACACACTTGTTTTGAGACGTCACATTACCACCACACACACTTGGTTTGAGACATCCCATTACCACCACACACACTTGTTTTGAGACGTCACATTACCACCACGCACACTTGTTTTGAGACGTCACATTACCACCACACACACTTGTTTTGAGACATCACATTACCACCACACACACTTGTTTTGAGACGTAACATTACCACCACACACACTTGTTTTGAGACGTCACATTACCACCACACACACTTGTTTTGAGACACTTGGTCGAAATGCATTACCACCACACACACTTGTTTTGAGACATCACATTACCACCACACACACTTGTTTTGAGACGTCACATTACCACCACACACACTTGTTTTGAGACATCCCATTACCTCCACACACACTTGTTTTGAGACGTCACATTACCACCACACATACTTGTTTTGAGACGTTACATTACCACCACACACACTTGTTTTGAGACATCCCATTACCACCACACACACTTGTTTTGAGACATCCCATTACCACCACACACACTTGTTTTGAGACATCCCATTACCACCACACACACTTGTTTTGAGACATCCCATTACCACCACACACACTTGTTTTGAGACATCACATTACCACCACACACACTTGTTTTGAGACATCCCATTACCACCACACACACTTGTTTTGAGACATCACATTACCACCACACACACTTGTTTTGAGACATCCCATTACCACCACACACACTTGTTTTGAGACATCCCATTACCACCACACACACTTGTTTTGAGACATCCCATTACCACCACACACACTTGTTTTGAGACATCACATTACCACCACACACACTTGTTTTGAGACATCCCATTACCACCACACACACTTGTTTTGAGACATCACATTACCACCACACACACTTGTTTTGAGACATGCATTACCACCACACACTCTTGTTTTGAGACATCCATTACCACCACACACACTTGTTTTGAGACATGCATTACCACCACACACACTTGTTTTGAGACATGCATTACCACCACACACACTTGTTTTGAGACATGCATTACCACCACACACACTTGTTTTGAGACATCCCATTACCACCACACACACTTGGTTTGAGACATCACATTACCACCACACACACTTGTTTTGAGACATGCATTACCACCACACACACTTGTTTTGAGACATGCATTACCACCACACACACTTGTTTTGAGACATGCATTACCACCACACACACTTGTTTTGAGACATGCATTACCACCATACACACTTGTTTTGAGACATGCATTACCACCACACACACTTGTTTTGAGACATGCATTACCAACACACACACTTGTTTTGAGACATCACATTACCACCACACACACTTGTTTTGAGACATCCCATTACCACCACACACACTTGTTTTGAGACATCCCATTACCACCACACACACTTGTTTTGAGACATCCCATTACCACCACACACACTTGTTTTGAGACATCCCATTACCACCACACACACTTGTTTTGAGACATCCCATTACCACCACACACACTTGTTTTGAGACATCCCATTACCACCACACACACTTGTTTTGAGACATCCCATTACCACCACACACACTTGTTTTGAGACATCCCATTACCACCACACACACTTGTTTTGAGACATCACATTACCACCACACACACTTGTTTTGAGACATCCCATTACCACCACACACACTTGTTTTGAGACATCCCATTACCACCACACACACTTGTTTTGAGACATCCCATTACCACCACACACACTTGTTTTGAGACATCCCATTACCACCACACACACTTGTTTTGAGACATCACATTACCACCACACACACTTGTTTTGAGACATCCCATTACCACCACACACACTTGTTTTGAGACATCCCATTACCACCACACACACTTGTTTTGAGACATCCCATTACCACCACACACACTTGTTTTGAGACATCACATTACCACCACACACACTTGTTTTGAGACATCCCATTACCACCACACACACTTGTTTTGAGACATCACATTACCACCACACACACTTGTTTTGAGACATGCATTACCACCACACACTCTTGTTTTGAGACATCCATTACCACCACACACACTTGTTTTGAGACGTCACATTACCACCACACACACTTGTTTTGAGACACTTGGTCGAAATGCATTACCACCACACACACTTGTTTTGAGACATCACATTACCACCACACACACTTGTTTTGAGACGTCACATTACCACCACACACACTTGTTTTGAGACATCCCATTACCACCACACACACTTGTTTTGAGACATCCCATTATTACCACACACACTTGTTTTGAGACATCCCATTACCACCACACACACTTGTTTTGAGACATCCCATTACCACCACACACACTTGTTTTGAGACATCCCATTACCACCACACACACTTGTTTTGAGACATCCCATTACCACCACACACACTTGTTTTGAGACATCCCATTACCACCACACACACTTGTTTTGAGACATCCCATTACCACCACACACACTTGTTTTGAGACGTCACATTACCACCACACACACTTGGTTTGAGACATCCCATTACCACCACACACACTTGTTTTGAGACGTCACATTACCACCACGCACACTTGTTTTGAGACGTCACATTACCACCACACACACTTGTTTTGAGACATCACATTACCACCACACACACTTGTTTTGAGACGTAACATTACCACCACACACACTTGTTTTGAGACGTCACATTACCACCACACACACTTGTTTTGAGACACTTGGTCGAAATGCATTACCACCACACACACTTGTTTTGAGACATCACATTACCACCACACACACTTGTTTTGAGACGTCACATTACCACCACACACACTTGTTTTGAGACATCCCATTACCTCCACACACACTTGTTTTGAGACGTCACATTACCACCACACATACTTGTTTTGAGATGTTACATTACCACCACACACACTTGTTTTGAGACATCC